GGGGGGGGGGGGCTCATGTTTCGCATGCCTTAGCGATTAGACCACGCGGAGGACCGAGCATTGTTGTTCCCACAGAACCCATCACCGACGGCCAATCGTTCGTTCCTGCTCCGCCACAGGTGGCTCATAAATGTTTCCCCTATCTTATCTATCCTTCCAAGCGTGTGTGGGGGGGGGAATAACGCGTGGCGCAGCGGGGTGGGTCACAAAAACAACACTGAATGAAGTCTATTAGATTGAACATATCACTCGATGCTCTGTCTATGGCACGCACCGCTGGTACTGCACTTTTACGAAAATTTTTCTCACCGAAACACAAAACAAATTCATCTCTTTCACAGCTAAAGAGTCCGGGATAGATGAGCAATGAGCTCAGAGTGTTGTACGATGACCAACTTAAGATTTCTATGGATCCTCGAGCAGCATACTGTTTTGGTGAGGATGTCGCTTCTCCTTCCCGCCGTGCTCGTACAATCCGTGCCGAGAGTGATTAGCGATCCCTCTCAACCCGCCACCAACATACTGTAACCTTCACGTACTTGATGCGAGAAAGTGACCACAGCGTATGCGAAGGAGACGAAGGATATGTACATCTAATCCTGAGGTACTCACCCACAACACCGGAGTTACTATAGTAGATAGTAGATAGTTGATAGTAGATAGTAGATAGTAGATAGTAGATAGTAGATAGTAGATAGTTGATTCTTAACACACGGGGGCCATGTGATTCTCTTTTCCAGTTGCCTTCTTCGTCTTAGTGACAAGACAAAAAAAAAGCATGTTCAAAAGGAGAACGGGTTCTCAAGGAGAACGGGAAAAGCAGGGGCAGCAGAGTTCATCCTCGAGAAAAAGTTATTGTTGTTGTTGTTGTTGTTGTTGTTGTTGTTGTTGTTGCCTGCATACTACTAACCGTTCCGGTCTCTGTTCAGTACCTTCTAACAGCACCGGTCAACTGACGCGGACGGACGCTTTCCGTGGTCACAGGGCAACTAGGGTACACACTCCTTGCACTCCTTGAAACAACAGAGACAAATCAAAAAGGAAGCACAAAACAAGAGAAGAAACGCGAGCGAGAGCAAAACCAGCAAACAAAAAAGTGCCGTACAGCTGTACGGCTGTGTTGTGGCATGGGCCTACCTTCGGTGCTGGCGGGCGGCGGGCGAGGGACGTGACCCGGTCCATACCTAGCTCGCCTCTGGGCAACCTCGAGAGCCCTAACGCGATAAAAAAAAACATAAACACACGATCACACACAGCAAAAAGCCGGCAACACAGCAACGCGGGAGAGAAGAGGTTTGTTTGTCAAGATCTACAACAAACAAAAAAAGTGGCAACACGGCGGTACAAGGCAAGAGGAGATGAGGGTTGTTTGTTGAGCTCTACTGTACCGCATCGAACAACGGAAGGGGTTGTCAAATAACACTAAAGTCTCCATACTGCACGAAAGAAGAACAGCCTTCTTGCTACATACATGCTGTGTCATTTCTGTTTCTCGGCTGTGCTCCCGTCTGTCGGCGTTTAGGAATCTCTCGACGATCTCGTTCGAATCGTCTACTGCTGTACGCATCCATTCATCCACATTCCATATCGCTCTCGTCGACAAACAGTGCCCCAGAAGGAAACGTTTGCAACAAAAAAAAAATGGCACTTCAAAATGTACCTGTACTGTGGCGAAGTTCAAAACACAAAAAACAAACGAGTTATTAATGGAGGGGAGAAAGCAAAGAGGACCGCGATTACCTTGGTACAACGAGCTGAACCTTCGCCCGGATAAAAAAATGACACCAACCTTCAAGCATCAAACTCGTAACACACAAGAACGACAAAAAATAAAACTAGCTGGCCTTTGTTGTCTCCCAGCCCAGCTAAAGGACGATACGAACTGGTACCACAGACCCAAGAATCAAACGTCCCTGACCTTTACCGCCCAGCCCAGCTAGAGAATGATACGAACTGGTACCTAAGACCCCGATCTATGGGAACAAAATCTTGTCGATAAATCTTGATCTTGGCCAAGATCTGCCAGTTTCACGATTTATGGGAGCACAATCTTCCGATAGTCTATATGTTGGCCAAGATTTCTCGAGGCCCGAAATCTGCCCTTTCGAACAAATCTTGCCTGGGTGCGGCGCGATCACCGAAGGTCAGTCAACGTCATCGTCCATAACGCCATGATTTCTGCACGTGGCACACTCGCAAGGGTCTCTAACGTACCCTGGCGTCACTGTGTCGGCGCCACGGGTGCCGACAGCGAACAAAAACGACCCAAGGCGCGCGACAAAACACGTATTTGCCCTGGCTCGTTCCACGTGCGTCATCACCAGTCTGTCGAGGGACTGTTCAACGAGTGCTTTGTTTTGAAGTAGAACAATAGAGGAGGAGGAACGTTTTGCCAACACAGCTCTGTGGTGTGCGACGCTTCAATGTCTTCATCGAACAACCCCACACCCGACCCCTCCGCACCCGAGCCAGATCCGTGAGTGCAGATGACAGCGCCGGAGGTTTGACCTCGGCACGCCTGCTACATGGTGAGATACGTGCACGGTTGTCATCGGCTTCGGGTTGATGCACTTTCTTGTCAGTTGGACAGCAGTAAGGAACAATTTTGTTTCTCCGCTTGACATGAGCTCGTGGGCAACGGCTTCTGTTTTGCACCCCAGGTAGGCGCCCATCGCTATTATCCACCCATCGTGTTGAAGCAAAACAGCTGGGGGAGGGACGCTCCTTCTACAACTGAATCATGGTCACTTTTCGCCACACTTTGGCATTTTCTGTGGACCAAGTGGCCGTTGTGCCTTTATCAACTTCAAGCAGAAGAGAGGACCAACTCGACGCTTTTTCAACATTCAACATATTTCCCCCCATACATCGCGATACTGCAAATCTTGGTGGAGATATATTGTGAGCAAATCTTGTGTCAACATGCCATATTTGCAAGATTCTGTTTCCACAAAGAAGGGTCCAAGACACAATAATCAAAATTCACTGACCTTTGTCTCCCAGCCCGGCAAAAGAACGATACGAACTGGTACCACGAGACACAAGAATCAAAACGCCACTGACCTCTACCTCCCAGCCCAGCTAAAGAATGACACGAACTGGTACCGCAAGACACCAGGATCAAAACGCCACTGACCTTTGCCTCCCAGCCACCGCGTTCTCCTCGCGCGCGGAGGCCTGCTCGGCCGCCAGAACCCTCGCGGCGCTCACGTCCGCTATCTTCGCCCGCACCACCGCCAGCCACCGCGCCGCCTCCGACGGCCGTCTCTTGGCCTTGCCGTCGCCGTTGCCCTCTGCTTCAGCTGAAGCAAAGCCATCGCCGCCGGAGACCGTGGGGTTGGTGATTGCGGCGGGATTGGTGCCGGTTCCGTTCGACGCAGGAGTTATCGTCATCCCGCTTGGGGGCGACGGAGTGCCGTTTGGGGGAGGGGATGCGCCGTTTGGCGACAACGAGGCGCCGTTTGGGCTCGGGGTTGCGGCGTCGTCCGGAGCTGTAGCTGGGCCGTTGGCGACTAGCCCGCCGCTGCCGAGGCTGTAGCTCTTGGAGTTCTCGGTCTTTTGAGGCGCTTCCGAAGCCTTGCGGCGGAAGGAAAAAAATCATCAACACAAGCGGAACACGGGTCGAGTCAGCACTGCTGTCGGTGTACGCTTACGCGAACCAGCTAGCTTCCGGTCGGTCAACGAAGCGCTGTGTTGCCCGGAGAATAGTGTAGCCACGGGGTAGATCACGGGACACAAGCAGCGTTATTTCATTGCTTGTTTCTTCCAGACTCGTATCTGTGGATAGAGAGAATATTGTTTGTTTGGATAAGAAAACATGTAAATGAAATAGAGACCACCGCTAAACGAATGGTACGCATGGTCACACCCTTGCACACGAACCGCCCACGCGGTCTGAATTTCATGAGAAGCGTGACGCAGCCAAGTATATTTTCATGCATGCGTCTGAGCCCCCTACGTACGCGTGACACGCGGGGCAATATAAAACTCCTTTAGACATTCTTCCTGTGTGACCCAGGCCCATATGTACGCCGTAAACACACCCACCGAACGGCGAGCAACGTTGGCGCCAGAACAAAAACAGAACGAATACACACACAGTAGCGTAAGACTCCCGCATGACGCTCGGTCACAGGGTCCCAGATTGCGGCCTTTGGAAGCATTTTGTGTTTTCAACCACGCTTTGAGACTGGCGTCTTTTCATTGGTCAGCCAGTTAGCGCGGTCGATGCTAGTAAGAAAGTCACACACACAACTTGAGACTACCAAGGGGGGCAATATCTTATTCGTCTTGCAGCAGCGGTGAAGGCAGGCGTTGTATTATGCACTACCCACACCTTACCTTTGCCTCTTCCTCTTCCTCGACGGCTTTCCTCAGATCGATCTCGGCAGCCTCGTACATGCGCTGGCAGATCTTCACGCGAGCCCTCCAGAACCTCGCCTTTCGGTATTATTAGGAGTGGGGGGGGGGGGG